GGAGCAGGGAAGGAGGGCAGCACCAGCCTCCTCTCCCCTTTTTTGGAATCTGCCTTTCCTCCACCCTTTCCAACTTCCTTTGCCTTTCCTCCAGTTCCAGGGGAGAAAGGGAGACCAGCCCTCTTTTCCCTCCCTCTGCTGCTTGCACTTCCCAAGTCCAGGCTAAGGAGATCAGGCTGAGCAGTGAGGGAAGGGCCTCGGGCTGCCCAGAGCCTGAGTCACCACATAGTTGAGGTTCCTGTCACTCGAAGTCCCGCCTCTGCTACACCCTGTGCCCTCTGCCCGCCCCAAGACTTGGAGCGCTGTGTTGGGAGGTGGTGGCGGTGACCTGCCCTGGGACCTGCTCCACTTCTGAGCTCAATACCCAGTGAGGGCTGCTCCAGCCCCGGATACCACGCTCTCTCTGCCTCCAAAACCGAGGGTGTGTGGTCCATCATCGTCACCCCGCGACTTTGGGATAGGCGCCCTCTTGCTCTAGGAACCAAAGTGACTCAGTGAGTGGCTTCGAGAACTGTGGAAAGACTCACATGCACCCTTGATAAGTCACTTCCCCTCTGTGGGCTCAGTTCCTCCTGGGTAAAATAAAGGGACTACCTAACGCGGTGTCTCGGGCAATCCTGCATACGGTACATTCTCTAAGTCTGAGTCGCGCAGATGGAGTGTTCCTGCTGAGGAGGGTGGGATAAAGAGGCATGTTTGCTAACCCCTGTCCTAACGGGAGTGGGCGGGGTAGGACACAGGCACCTCCACAATAGGGCCGCCAACATCCTTGGCAACTCCGTGATTCAGGCCCCACAGAGAGTGGGCCTGGCAGGAAAGCACCCCGTGGCTTCCCTGTGACTCAGGGGAAATGCAGATCTCCCTGAAGAATGACTGGCCAGGGTCCCACTATAACCAGCTCTATAGCTTGTCTCCCCAGCACCTAGAAAGTTTCCGGTCCCAGTGTAGCACCCCCACCCCCACCCCGGCCTTTGACGGCGCTCTGGCCGCCTCAGCTGCTTCCACCCCCACCCCTTACCTGGCCCTGGCAAGCCTCTTCCCCCGGCCTTCAACTCCATAGCCCTCCCTGCCCTGCCATGTCCCCTTGGTTACCCTTTGGCTCTGCCCATCCTCACTATCCACCCCCATCCTGACGGAGCCAGCCAGATGATTGCAAAAGGGCTGAGCCAGAGGGAGAGGCCCTCACATGACAGCTGTTCCTGCTGCAGAGGGGAGGGGGCAGGGGGAAGTAGAGGGAAGCACATTCCATGGGAGATCCGATCAGAAATAGCCCCAAACCCTGACCGTCCAGCCCCTGCTCTGCTCCTGGCCTGCCCACTGTGTAAACAAGGTAAGGTCAGTAGGCTTCCCCTTTGGAATCCTGAGGAAATGTGGAAAGCGGGGGGCAGGGGGAAGTGTCTGAAAGGGAGGGGGCTGCAAAAATGAAAAGAGCCCAGGAACATCTAGAGACCCAGGGTCACCAAGGGCACCTTTGCCACTTAGGCAGCCCCACATGCCCATGGGATTCTGCCTTTCCCAAGACATTCAATACAGCACAATGCCCAGCAGCCACCTTGACTGCCATTCCACCCATCCCTTGGGTGCTGAAGCTCTGGGACACCCCAGTAATTCCACTGGAGTAAAACGACAGCCTCCCCCAGGGAGCCATGCCAGCCTGATTAGAGCAAACAGACAGGAGCAGGTGGCTGTGTCTCTAACCTTTTGGGAACCCTGGTATCTTCACGCCCCAGCATTAGGGGACACATGCAAAAGAGGGGTGAGGACCCCAGAACTCCATTCCCTGACCAAAGCGAGTCAGGGAAGTTACCCTCCAGTGTAGATACAGCTGGAGGGGTGGGCCAGGGAAGCCACAGCCGCCCAGGAAAACCCCTTTGATGTGCAGAGGGAAAGTTCTGGGTTCTGAGGACAAAGAGTGCTGGTTGCCATGAAAACCACAGTATTAATTTCAGAAATGACTGGGTGGATCCTCCAAAACACTTCATTCCACTCCCTTTGACATTCTAGACCCTTCCCCCACCTCTCAAAAGGGGAAGTGGCACATTTGGGGCATGTGGGCAGCTGGTGGGCTGGGTCTGACCCAGTGTGCAGAGCAGCTGTCCAGCTCCAGCTCAAATAGGACATGAAAAAAAGAAGACAATCTAGGTCTTTCTTGGAAGAACTTTAAAGGCTTTTGGCTTTTTAATAAGTGACTTAAGCAGAGGGCCAACAAAGCTAAAACAAGTAACTGCTTATAACCAGTATCTACCGGTTTCTACACAGGCTGAACCCAGTCTCAGGCGTTTCCATTCACACACTGGGCTCAGTGCAGATTTTATCTGCAGCGAGGACATGGATGGCGCTGGAGAGTTATCACACTAAGTGAAATAAGTCAGAGAAAGACAAATACGCTATGACATCACTCATAGGTAGAATTGAAACAAACGAACAAAGGAAAAAAAGAGAGAGACAAACCAAGAAATAGACTAACTATAGAGAACAAACTGGTGGTGGTTCCTCCAGCAGAGGGGGCGGGGGAGAACAGGGAATGAGGATGAGGGAGTGCCCTGATGAGCACTGAGCTACGTGTGTTAGTGTGAAATCACTCAATGGCACACCCGAAACTAACATAACACTGTAGGCTAACTATACGGAACTAAAATAAAGATTTCATCTGCAGTCAAATGCACCTGAGCCCGGACTCCTCTCCTTTCGCCATCTCCTTTTCTGGACGCTCTTAAGATTTTGCCCAGTAAGTGGATAAAACGGCTTCCTCCTTGCATCTCACTCTAGTTCTCCAAGATCACCCCTGTTCTCAGGCCCAGCCCGCTCCCAACTCCAACTCCCCCTTCCCTTTCCTCCCCATGACCCCGGCTGGGGACCCAGGAGGCACACGCTGCAGCCTGGGCTCCCGGATGCCAGCTCCAGGTGGTGAGCCTCCCTGGCATGTCAGGAAATGGGCCCAACAACCAGAGACGTCCCCCTGGCGCAGGCGCTCAACGGCCAAGCCGAGGCAAGCCGGGCGGGGCCGGGAGGAGCCGGGGAGCCAGGCAGAGCTCCAACAAGCGCCTGGGCCCCAGCCGGGATCGGGATCGGGAGGCCGCGGGATCGGGAGGCCGTGAGTCCCAAGCACAGCCCCAAAGCCCCAGGCTGGGCGGTGACTCAGGGCTCCTCTGGGCAGGGCGGAACCGCACCAACTCCAGAGGGCCCTCCCCTTTCCCTACCCCACATCTGCCGCTAGAAACTCCTGCTGTTAACCTCTTTCTTGCCCACCAGGGCAGGGCAGAAGCCCTCTAGTTCCATCTGGCTTTGGAGGCCAATAGCCAACTCGCCCCGGGTCACAACACCCTCCCCTTGGGCTGCCCACCCCACCACCTCCGTTTGTGGGTATTGGCCGGCCCCCAAGCACAGGCCTGGTCTCATCCAACAACCTGGCCACCCTCCTCTGCACCAAACCGCCAGACCCTGAGGCCCAGGAGGCAGGACGTGGGGATGAGTCACTCTTCCTGCAGTCCGAGGGAGGCTGGGAGGCGGGGTGCCCCAGACCAGCCCAGTCCACATGCGGTGCCAGGTCTGCTGTGGCCCACACAGCAGAAACCCCATTTTCCCCAGCTCGACCCCATTTCTGGGCCTCTCTGACCTGCCCCTTCAGACCTTACAGAACTGGGGTCTCTCCGGACTAACTCCTCAGCTACCTGGAAGGTCAAGGATACCAGGAGCGCTGGGGGGGGGGGGGGGTGAAGATTACACAAGCGGAGAAGCAGGGAGGTGTGGTGGGAAACGGAATCTGGGAAGGGAGTCTGACAGGTTAGGTGAGGCCCCAGCACCCAGCGCCTGGCCCAACCCAGCCGGCAACTAGCACTTTTAGATCCCAACCAGGAGCAGCCTGGAATGCTCGGAAGCAAGACAGGTGGCAAATTTGGATCCAACTCCAGATGACCTGCCAGGGAGCAAACCCTGAGCAAGAACCAGCCCATCCTCGCCCAGCTGGATTCCACATGGTGGCTCTGTTCCGCCCATTCTTCCCAGAACCCCAGCTGTAGTCCAAGTACCCAGAGATGACAACCCTAGCCCCCTCCCAAGCTACCAGACCATCTGTACCTGGGAAGACCACCTTCTTCCCCTCCCAGCTAAGTCCTTCTCTGCGCTTGGACTAAGGGTGGGAGAGAGAGAACACACGTAAAACCATAAACTAGAGACCAAAGGTTGAATCGTGACTGTTTCTACATCTGCCTCAGAAAGTGAATCAAACTGGCACCTTCCAACTTCACCGTGTGTAATACACAGGGAGACCTTCGGTGCTCTTCAGAAAAGACAAGAGAAACAAAGACAGTAGGAACAAGAACCTGTGAGAAGGGCATGATAAAAATTAAGCTCGAGAGAGAGAAAATAGTACTCCCAAGTCTGAGTGGGGTTCTTAAGTGGCAAGTCAGGACTGTCCCAAGTTCCAGGAAGCAGCCGGGCACATTTTCAGTACGGGTTCCAGTGACACCCACTGGGGTCAAAATCCCATCTCCACAGGCAAGTCTCTTAAATTTCTGAACCCCACTTCCTTGTGAGAAAGTGGGACTACCCCAGAGATGACCCACAGCCAGTCCAGAGCCAACAGGCCAGTCCTGTTCTGAGTAGTCTGTGTCTGGTATTCCTGCTTGAAATATTTCAACCAAGACCCTCGATGCCACCACCTCCCTCCCTCCCAGGGCATGTGTGAGAAATAACATGAACCTCCTCCACAAACTGTGCTACCGTGCCTTAGCAATCTGGTCCCGAAGACTTAGGCAGTTCCAAAGCCCCATGTCACCGCCCGACCTAACTGCATCCGGTCTCTCCCAGCTAGGCCAAAAGTCAGTGATCACAGTACAGGCAGGGCGAACACAGCCAAAACAGAGAGACCTCTCCTCTACCCTTCTAAGACTCTCTCCTGCAAAAGGAGGTACTGCAGGCCCAGAAAATAACCCTGCTTCAACATATCGACTTCCCTTTGAAGAATCCATCACTCATAAAGGAGGCAGGAGAGGTAAGGGTTCAATGTTCAGTTTCCTTTAATGACCCCCATCTCCCTGAAGGGCAGGTACAGGCAACTAGGCGACAGCAAGAGATGTTCACTTGAAGATCTTGCCCTGATTGAAGGTTTTGCCCACATGCTGGAAGGCCCCCTCCCAGGAAAAGTACTCTCGAACCAGCGTCTGGGTCTCCTCGCTGCCAGGATCCAGTTTCCGCCAGGTATAGGACTCGTAGTCCACCTGCCAATCTGGACTCAGCTGGGGAGAGAAAGCCAGGTTAAGCACATGGTCAGGTTATCAGACACCGTCCCACACCTGTTACTTCCAGCTCAGACGCATGTCATCAGATTCTAAAATGCCCGTGACCATGGCAGTCCTTCCTGTGAACATTCCTTGCACTCTCTGAATGCCTACAAGCACAGGAATGAAGGTGGACTTCCCACCCCCTTGCCCCACCCTGAAGAGACAGGCTCCTCCCGTACACCTTTCCTCACCGGAAAGGCAAGCTCCTGGCCTCGGAAGACCCAGACTCCAGAAATGGAGCTGCTGTTATTGGTTCCAAAGAGGATGACACTGGCAAAGGCATTCTTCCTCAGTTTGTCCAACCGCTGGAACATTCCTGAAGGGGCGAGGGAGAACGTGCAGTCTTTAGAATCACATCACCCACGGCCTTGTCCCCCCTCTTCCTCTTCCTCGACCCACTCTCTTCTTACCAGTGATGAGGTTGCAACTCATGAAAGTCTGGGTGAGCTCTTCAGGGAAGCGGTACTCAGCGTACCACAGAGACCAGCCATCCTTATCAAAGTGCTCCCAAAAATACGGCAGGGCCACAGAGAGTGTGTCCTCATTGGAGTACTTGCGCTTAAATTCGTCCAACACAAAGGTACTGAATGGAGGAAAAAAGCAAGGTCAATGTGGAGAAGGTCCCGCTGAAGCAACACAGGGTTGCCAGGCTAAGAGAAACTAAGGGCAGATTTCACTAAAAATGTACTGGTTTAAAGGAAGAGGTCACTGGATTGGCAGATGGGTACCACCTTGCAAGGGAGGAGAGCTAAGGGCATATAACCAGGGGGCCAGGGCACTCCCTCTGCTCCCTATCTCCGGCCTAAATCAGCTAAGCTGGAGGAGGGTAGGACCCATGTGGGCTGGAGGGAAGCCCTGCCCCAAGGAAAGTGCAGGCAACTGCTGCCCCCTGGTGGAGACCCAGAATGTGCACTCCTTCTCCGTGGCCAACCCCTCCAGGGCCCTTTCCCACTGAGTCACTCAGTCCCTGAATCACCCAACTCTCCCCCGCCACCACAGGCCTCTTCGGGTTACACACATCACAGTGTGACAGCCATGTAACTGGCAAACGTTATCATAAGGCCTCCGCCCCAGACCTTACACCCGTGGCCTTGAGTCACTCTGCCCAGGAATAAGCCCAGATGCTGCAAAGCCCTTAGGGTTAGATCCTTGCAGCAACTTGGCACACTGCTGAGAAGGCTCGCTGTGGAGAGTCCCTCCCCTCATGGCAGGGTGCTCTTTCTTTTCTTTCCAGTTATAAAACCACATGCTGACTGAAGAAAATCACTCGCAATGCCAGCAAACAAGAGAACTGATTAGTATGTTCGTGTACTTCCCGCCAGTGGCTCTCCAAAGACCATGTGTGTAGTTTTGTGCCTTTCATCATTTAATACTGTCATTCTACCAGGGATTCTTTTTCACAAATGTTTTAAGATTTTCTACTTATTCATTTGCGAGAGACAACACGAGAACGCAAGCAAGGGGGAAGGTCAGAGGGAGAGGGAGAAGCAGACTCCCCACTAAGCAGAGAGCCCAATGCGGGGCTCAATCCCAGGACACCAGGATCATGATCTGAGTCGAAGGCAGACACTTCACTGAGGAACCCAGGCGCCCTTTACAAATTTTTTTTTAAAGATTTTTATTTATTTATTTATTTGACTGAGAGATCACAAGTAGGCAGAGAGGCAGGCAAAGAGAGAGGAGGAAGCAGGCTTCCCGCTGAGCAGAGAGCCCAATGCGGGGCTCGATCCCAGGACCCTCAGGTCATGACCTGAGCTGAAGGCAAACGCTTTAACCCACTGACCCACGCAGGCACCCTTTTTACAAATGTTTTAATGGCGAGATAATCCTCTACTGTATGAGTGTGCCATAAACCTATTTTTAAAAACCCTTACTAAATGTTTAATTGGCTCAATTATTCATTACTATAAATAATGCCAACAAACCCCAGAGTTAAAAACCATTCCTTTCCCTCTTCCCAGATAAGGTTAAGTGGCGTGACCTGCCCACTGTTAGAATATAGCAAAGCAGATGCTGTCCTTGAACCCTGGGTCCTATGGTCCTTCCCAAAAATACAACGGAGACCTCCTCTGAGGAGCTTCCACCCCAACCATCTGAAAAAGGGACTGGAGATTTTTTTCTTCACACCTTCCTGAGCTGTTAGAACTTCATAATTTATGACCATGTTGTATCCATTTCCCCCCAAATGAGGACAAGCTCTGAACCGCTCTGGAAACAAGTGTAGCTGGAAGGCCTTAAAAGGACTGGAACTGGGACACCTGGGTGGCTCAGTTGGTTAAGTGTCTGCCTTGGGCTCAGGTACTGATCATAGAGTCCTAGGATAGAGCCCTGTGTGGGGCTTCCTGCTCAGCAGGGAGTCTGCTTGCCCCTCTCCCTCTGACCTCCCCGCCCCCTGCTTGTGCTCTCTTGCAAATAAATAAAATCTTGAAAAAAAAAAAAAAGAGCCAAAACCAACTATCGACATATAGTGGTCTTCATCTTTGAAGACATTACCTTTGCATTAAAAATCCTACGGAAGGGGCGCCTGGGTGGCTCAGTGGGTTAAAGCCTCTGCCTTCGGCTCAGGTCATGATCTCGGCGTTCTGGGATCGAGCCCCGCATCGGGCTCTCTGCTCAGCAGAGAGCCTGCTTCCCCCTCCCTCTCTCTCTCTGTCTGCCTCTCTGTCTACTTGTAATCTCTGTCTGTCAAATGAATAAATAAAATATTAAAAAAAAAAAAAAATCCTACGGAAAATCATCTTGCCAGCCCAAAAGAGAACCATAGTAATACTGCTAACTGGTATGAACCTGGGCACCTGGGTGGCTCAATGGGTTAAGCCTATGCCTTCCACTCTGGTCATGATCTCAGGGTCCTCAGATGGAGTCCCACATCTGGCTCTCTGCTCAGCAGGGAGCCTGCTTCCCCCTCTCACTCTGCCTGTCTCTCTGCCTACTTGTGATCTCTGTCAAATAAATAAAATCTTTAAAAAAAAAAAAAGGTATGAATCAATATTCCCAAAAGGATGTAAGTTGTTTCTTTTTTAAACTCAAGTACATTTATGTTTTTTTAATTTTTAGATTTTATTTATTTATTTGACAGAAAAAGACACACCAAGAGAGGGAACACAAGCAGGGAGAGTGGGAAAGGGAAAAGCAGGCTCCCTACTGAGCAGGGAGTCCGACACAGGGCTCTGAGCCAAAGGCAGACGCTTAACAACTGAGCCACCCAGGAGCCTCAGGATATAAGTTTATTAACAATTTTCAGTCTACTGGTGATTTATTTTCCACCCAAAATATACATACCTAATGTATATGAAAATCTCTAGCTAACAATTAACTGGGTCCATGTTACAACAGCACACATAACTCAGGTTAGTTATCACAGCTTATGTACACACACCAAAACTCCTGCTCACTCCTGACCTGTCCGTGTATTAGGTTCAAGGTCAACCACCTCAGTTCAAAAAGAAATACATCTGTAAAGAGAAGCTGCAATCTGGAAGCTTCTTGGTCATGTATGAAGTGCCTAGGCCCAAATTACACGTCTTCCTCCCCAAATGGGGAAGAGCAGTGCCTACTGTGACCATCTGTGCTAGGAGGCTCATCATTTACAAGTCCCCGTGCCCCTATTCTGCCCACCAGCAGCGTGCACCTTCATGCTAATTTATCCCATAAGAAACCATTACAGGGGCGCCTGGGTGGCTCAGTGGGTTAAAGCCTCTGCCTTCGGCTCAGGTCATGATCTCAGGGTCCTGGGATCGAGCCCCACATCGGGCTGTCTGCTTGGCAGGGAGCCTGCTTCCTCCTCTCTCTCGGCCTGCCTCTCTGCCTACTTGTGATCTCTGTCAAATAAATAAATAATCTTAAAAAAATTTTTTTTTTAATTTTTTAAAAATGTTAAAAACCATTACAAGGAGAGCCTGGGCGGCTCAGTGAGTTAAGCACCTGACCCTTGATTTCAGCTCAGGTCATGACCTCACAGAGATAGAGCCCCATTTAGGAGACTGCTTCTCTCTGCCTCCCTCTGCACACCCTCCACAAAATAAAATCTTAAAAAAAAAACCACCATTACAAAACGGGGGAGGGTGAACCCTGTTGAACCCCAACAGACCAACTAGTGAGATGGTGGATGACTTTGGGAAAGGCAGAATGAGTGGGTGAGAAAAGCCGGGAGCAAGGAGAACTACGTGAAGTGGCAGCTGACAACAGAGGTCTCCTAATGGAATTCTAATGAAACGCCAGGGCACTAGCTGAGGACTTGAGTACGGATAGCAGGCAAGTACTGGATGCCCCCTTCTAGGAAAACCAACAAGCTTCCTTTCACTGTATTCTTTTCTTTCAAGAACCCCAAACTTTACTGAAAAGGTTGACAGTGGATGGGGTGAGGACCATCCCATCTTCTTCCTTCTTGAGGAGTTCTATTCCCCCATCTGGGAAACAATCCAGCAGACAGGCACTAGGGAGTCACGGTCACCGTCCCTTCTCAGTGAGGATGTTTATACAGTTTGCTCACATAGGGCGCCTGGGTGGCTCAGTCAGTTAAGCGTCTGCCTTCGGTTCTGATCATGATCCCAGAGTCCTGGGATCAAGCCCCAGGGCCCCACATCAGGCTCCCTGCTCAGCGGGGAGTCAGCTTCTCCCTCTCCTTCTGTCCCTCCCCCACTGCTTGTGTGCACACGCACCCTTCTCTCTTAAATAAATGTTAAAAAAAAATGTACCCAATTCTTGAGGATAAACTCAAGAAGTTGTTTTCCTTGCAAACAAGACATCTTTCAATTTTATATGGACAACGTAAAATGGTCCTAGCTATGAGAGGGGAACACACATAGGCAAAACCCGGCCTTCATGAGTCCCATGCCCCCTTCCCTCCAATATCCTTACCTCTTGGGCAGGTGAGCGAAGGGGTCCTTGGCCTTCGGCTCAGCAGCCAATGCCTGTTCACATTCATCCATCTCCTCCTCAGGAGCAGGGGCAGCAGCCTTTTTCTCCTCTTTCCGCTCAGCCTGGGGCTTCTGCTTCTCTTCCCGAGAACCTTTCTCTTTCCGTGGGGTGTCCTTTTTAGGCTGGCTCTCTGCAAACTTTTTAGCTGGCGCAGAGAAAGGGAGAGAAGTCAGCATCCTGCCTCTCAACATATGCCTCTAAAGGCAGGCAGTGAGCAAGGGAACGGAAACCCACGGGGCGGGGCAACTGTGGAATCTAAGCTCCGCACTGCTCTGCCACCCGCTCCCTGTACGTCCTGCAGCACGAACACAACACTCAGCAACAAACACACACATGCACTACCACTTCTGTACGTGAACACTAAGGAGGGAAAGTACGTATGCCTGTAAAACATAGGACACTACACGGGACAGCCCGCATTCTGTGGGTCCACGTAACCCAGAAGCCTGATGGGAAACCAAGGGATGGAGACTGAGCGAACAGCCCCGAGCCAGGCCACGTGCTCCTCTACCTCCAGACTCACCATCAAACTGGGCCATCTTCTCACAGAGTTTCACCTCCCCCAAGACAGCCCGGAACTGGGGCTGATTAATGCAGGTGAGGAACCAGCGGTTGGTATTGGGGAAGGCCTGGCGGAAAGAAGGCTCCAGGACCTGTCAGAACATAAGGGTGGAAGAAGCAAAGGAGAGAAAGGTCTTGAGGGGTTTCAAGTCAGAGAGCTTTGTTTTTCTCTACACCAAAGCTCCACCTTCCTCTCAACCCCTGAGAGGGCAGCTCCCTAGAACACCATCTTATCCTGGAAGGCTACTTCCCATTTACCCTCCTCTTTTTAACACTACAGTCCAACTTAATGGATACTTGATCCCATCCTTCGTTTACTACAAATCTACCCGGTAGACATGTTCATATGGCATCTTACCCCTTTCACAAAACCACGTCACACCTACACATTCCAATCTTTCTTTTTTTTTTTTTTTAAAGATTTTATTTATTTATTTGACAGAGAGAGATCACAAGTAGACAGAGAGGCAGGCAGAGAGAGAGAGAGAGAGAGAGAGGGAAGCAGGCTCCCTGCCGAGCAGAGAGCCCGATGCGGGACTCGATCCCAGGACCCTGAGATCATGACCCGAGCCGAAGGCAGCGGCTTAACCCACTGAGCCACCCAGGCGCCCCACATTCCAATCTTTCAAATGTCATGTGTCAGGGCACCTGGCTGGCTCAGTCGGTTAGGTGTCTGCCTTCAGCTCAGGTTATGATCCTGGAGTCCTGGGATCAATCGAGCCCCCAGTGGGGCTCCCTGCTCAGTGGGGACCCTACTTCTCCCTATCCTTTTGCCCTCTCCCCAGCTCATGCTCTTTTTCTATTTCTTTCTCAAATACATAAATTAAATCCTTTTAAAAAAAGTTACATGTCAAACTAAAAACAAACAGAGGTGGGGCAACACAGCTACCAATACTCCTTTTGCCAAATAAACAAGGTAACAGAAACTATCTACACATGATACATATTTTTCTTTCACCAAACTTCAGGACCTAGCAACACTTGTAACAAAAAAAAACAAAACAAAAAAAAAAAAAAACAAACCAAAAAGTATTTCAGAATACCAAACAGTCCTTTAAACTAAACTTAGCTTCGCAACAAACTCCTTTACCACCTTTCTTTTTTTTTTTTAAGATTTTATTTATTTATTTGACAGAGAGAGAGAGAGAGAGGGAGGGAGAGAGAAAGAGATCACAAGGAGGCAGAGAGGCAGGCAGAGAGAGGGGGGAAGCAGGCTCCCCGCTGAGCAGAGCCCGATGCGGGGCACGATCCCAGGACCCTGAGATCATGACCTGAGCCGAAGGCAGAGGCTTTAACCCATTGGCCCACCCAGGCGTCCCTCTTTTACCATCTTTTAATTTGCTAAGATCAGAGCGAAAATAATCTTTGTCATGGAGACAGACTAGAGCAGTCAGTTCTATAGTACTGATTCTACAGTATTTAGGTTTTCTTTTCTTTTCTTTCATTTTTTTAAAATGATTTTATTTATTTATTTGACAGAGAAAGATCACAAGTAGGCAGAGAGGCAGGCAGAGAGAAAGAGAGAGAGAGAGAGAGAGAGAGAGAGAGAGAGAGAGAGAGAAACAGGCTCCCTGGTGAGCAAAGAGCCTGATGCAGGGCTCGATCCCAGGACCCTGAGATCATGACCTGAGCAAAGGCAGCGGTTTAACCCACTGAACCACCCAGGCGCCCCTGGGTTTTCTTTTCTTTTCTCTTAAGATCTGTATTTATTTGAGGCGCATGGGCAGCTCAGTTGTTAAGCATCTGCCTTCGGCTCAGGTCATGATCCCAGCCTGGGGTGGAGCCCCCATCCGGTTCCCTGCTCAGCTGCAAGCCTGCTCCTCCCTCTCCCACTCCAGCTGCTTGTGTTCCCTCTCTCACTGTCTGTTTAAAACACACACACACACACACACACACACACAAAACACAAGGGAACACAAGTAGGTACTTTTTGCTCCCAATTATCACACTACTATTCTGGACTAGTATCAGTCCAAGAGCTGCTGGGACACCTGGGTGGCTCAGTCGGTTGGGCCTCTGCCTTCGGCTCAGGTTATGATCCCAGAGTCCTGGGACAGAGCCCCATGTAGGGCTCCTTAGTCAGTGAGGAGCCTGCTTCTCCCTCTCTCTCTGCCATTCCCCTGCTTGTGCTCTGTCTCTCTCTCTCAAATAAGTAACTAAAACACTTTTAAATTTAAAAAAAAAACTTTTTTTTTTTTTTACTTTAAAAAAAGAGGGGCATCTGGGTGGCACAGTGGGTTAAAGCCTCTGCCTTCGGCTCAGGTCATGATCTCAGGGTCCTGGGATCGAGCCCCACATTGGGCTCTCTGCTCGGCAGGGAGCCTGCTTCCCCTCCTCTCTCTGCCTGCCTCTCTGCCTGCTTGTGATCTCTGTCAAATAAATAAAATCTTTACCAAAAAAAAAAAAGCTTTAAAAAAGAGGTACTGCTCTGCATTCAACATGTCATGTTCTTTGACCCAATAACCTCAAGACTAATTACCACCTCACTGGTTTTATAACTTACAAGGAAAAGAAGAACTAAAGGAATTCTCTCTCCCTCTCTCAAACACACACACACACACACACACACACACACACACACACACCCCTCTACCTACAACTAGTCAGTAATGAAGCCAAGAACTGAACCTAGCCTGCCTGCCTCCAAAAGACCTTGGTACCACAGCCGCCAGCCCTACCTCTATCTTCACAACTAAACGCAAGCACAGCTGGACTTCCTCAAAATTATGGAAACAAGCTAAACATCTTCACTGCCAAACAGAAACTCAGGAAACAGAACGTTACCTAACTTCTCAGGAGGAGGGAAAGCAGTCAGGGTACTCAAACTTGAGATCCCTAGTTGTTACCAGACACACTCTCATATCCGAGTCCTTGGCAGAATACAGGTAACCTGGAAGACTCATCACTTCGTTTCTACCCTCCCTCCCTCCCCTCTGCCAACGTGATTCTTTATAAACGTCACCTGTTTATAGAGCCACAACAGGGTGCAAACAACTGTGATGTCAGCCAGCGTCACACGTTCGCCCACCAGGAAAGTCCTCGTCTTCAAGTGAGCATCCAGTAGGCCCAGAATTCGCCTCACTTCCTCCTTTGCATTCTCTGTGGCCTATTGATTTAAAATGATCAAAAACTTAATAGCGGGTACCCATCCCTTTCCCTGCTCCCCACCCCCAGCAACAGAACCAAGGTTGGTTCTGTTTCATTTCATTTCATTTACTAAATTCTGGCTCATCCCCATCCCCTCTCAATGTAGTCAGATCCGAGATCATTCCAAATGTATGACAGATGAAGCTCTCGACACCAAATTTCTTCATGGTGGAGTCTAGATGAATTTCCCACTACACTGACCTAGTCCTTTATCTTTGGATTTTAGAAGGGACCTCAGAGATCACCTGGCTTAACCACTCCCCTACCATTTGGGATAGCTTTTCTACAGCAGAGATCTCTGACCACTCACAACAGGCACCACTTCCAGTGGATCTGTGTGACAAAGAACCCAGATACCATCAACCACAGTGCTCAAAATTCACACCCCGACGATGAGGTCTTTAGTTATCCACGTATTCTTAGCATCTCCTTTTCTCAATCTATTGTATTTCTTACTCCCTGACACTCAGGAGTTGATGCCATCCCTGCCCTTGGCTTCTCCCCCAGTCCCAAGGCTTACCTGCTTGTTGTGGTGCATGATGCCCAAGGTGGGGAAGACCCAGGTACTGGCTGGGGGCACTATGTCGCTATCAGCAAAGCTCACCCACTGCACCACCTGGGCTGCTGCCTCGGGAGTACTTCCCCGCAGCTCCTCATTGCTCACTGCAGAGGCAGAACACAAAGGTCAGAACTTTGGGGTCATGCCAACATCAATCCAAGTCTATGAAAATTCCTCTTCTACACACTCCAGCTCACCCTCATCCTCTCCTACCTCCTTCATTCCAGATCTTCCCATTCCCACACCCACCGCAAATTACCATAGTAGGCAATGGCATTGCTCTCGAACACACAAAATCCATCGTCACCCTCAAATGCTGGAACCTGGGACAAAACAGTCAAAAAGATAAGTAAAATGCAGAAAAATAAGTCAAATTCACAGTAACTTTTCACTAGCCAATCTCAGGAACTCAAATCATTTTGGATGAAAGTTCTTACATAAGGCTGACAACCCTAAGCAAACTATTCATAAACACTACTGGTACTAACTCTAACCCATGAACTAGAAATATTTAAGTAATTTGCTATACCTTACAATCTAAACTCTCATAAGAAACCCCAAAGATTTAGGTATTATCAGATGTCTGTATAAAATCCCTCAATCAAATAGGCAAAAGATCAAAAAACCAAGTGTCATATCTCTGTCCATGTACCTGAAAAGATGGCTCCCCACACAGTATTTGTCTCCTCTCTGTTTAGCAAGGTTATTTGTGGATCTCTGTAAGCCCCGTGGTCGGCTCAGGGCAGATACCTGATACATTTGCATCGAAAACAAAAAAACTCTCTCCCACAAACACAAAAAAACCTGTGAATTTTATAACAATCACTGGACAGCTCTGCATTACTTCTAACTACATGGAAATCTACATTTATCTCAAAACAAAAAGAACTTTAAATCACTGAAATGTTAAAAAAAAAAAAAAGTTATATGGAAATCTCCCTTTTAAAGATGGAGACCATCTTCAGAGTGAGACAACCTCAGGGCTCCTTGAGTTCTTGGGACCAAAGACCCCTGTGCGCTTTCTTACTTACCTTGCCTGCAGGAAATTTACGGAGAAATTCAGGGGTGCGGTTGGTTTGGCCAAAGTGGAAGTGGGGTGGTGCGGAGAGCACGCGGACCTGAGCCCCGCTGTACTGAGCAGCAATGAGAGCCTTGAAGGCCCTCCAGTTTTCAGGATATGTGTACAGGGTCTATGGGGAAAAGGAGGGTGGTATTCATGAGTAAAAAGGTCCCAGTCCTAAATGTCATCTCCCAGGATAAATTCCCTGAATTATTCCCAACCTGTTCAACTCACTTTTACTCCCCCGGTGAACCAAGCTCTCTAGTATCTGTCATGTGTAATCAGATTCCGAAGACAGAACTACACACCAACTGCTAAATAAAGCTTGCTGACAGGCTTGACCTTCCCTAAGGAAGGACATCTCTAGAAGCATTCTCACCTCAAATATATCTGTCCAGAAACCCAGAACTTGTAGCTCCCTCAGACTCCACCCGCCGACAAACATACACTCCTCCCTGCCAGGAGCCTTGGTTTCATTCATTGATGGTTAGCGAGTACCTGCCTACTCCACTGCTGAGCCGCGCACCCCTTCCAAAGCATCACCCTTGTCTCTCACACACCCCGACCGTTTCCAAGTTCCCCTCAGAAGAGCCACGGAGAAACCGAACGGCATCTTCTCTTCCTAAACCAACTCGTTCTCCGCAAAGGACCACTCCTCCTTGTCACGCGTCCCGTCCCCCCGGTCCTGTCCCGCAGTGAGTTCCCTGGCGTTGCCTTCTCCTTCTATTAACCCGGCCAGCACGTTCTGACTCCACCGTCCGGAGAGTCCTCCCGTTCCCAAACCTCCCCGCGGGACGACCCTCAACCGGAGACAACCGTACCTGCCCACAAAGACCCTCCTCTTCACCCCGTCCCTGTGGCTGCCCCACAAAACGGTCGCAAAAGTTCTGTCAACCTGCCCGGATCCCACGTCTCGAGGCGGCAACGAACCCGAACCCCTTTCTCAGGCCCCAGACGGCCAGGATCCGACATCTCTTTTCTCCTCTACCCGAGATCCTTCCACCTCTTTGGCCTCCAAGAGTCCCAGCCTCAGTTCCCCTCCGGGGCCTGGAAGCCTTGCACTCCAACAGTACGGTCTCCAGACCCCGGATCACTTCCCCACTCTGCTCCAGAACTCCTCTGACCCCGGAGGGCCCTATTCCGGCAGAGGATGGCATCGGATACCGCGACCCGGATCGCCGGAGCCGGCAAACTTACCCCAGCCGCCATGGTGATTCCGCAGAGAAAGGGGGTGGGGCTTTCGGCGCTGCCGCAAAGTAAGCCGTCAGGGAGAGGAGCGGGGGAAGGGGAGAGCCGTGGAGAAGCAGCGGCCGCAAAGCGAGGACGCCACAGAAGGCATACGCACGACAGTTCTGTATCCCGTGGTGGCTGAATTGGAAAAAGAAGGGGGTGGAGCCTGCTGGTCTGCGCAGAGAAAGCTCGCGCCTGCGCAGTGGAACTCCTGGCTGTCCCGCCCCTCGGGCCTGGCCAATCCGAGTCCCGACGTGGAGGTTGAAGGCGCGGAGGGTAAACTGTGAGAACCAGCTGGAAAACCTCCCCTTGTCTGCGACGTGGCCCAGCTGCCAACTCCGCGCCAGCGCCGGCTCCCAGAGGCCTTTCCCCTCCAGCTCGGGAACCCGCGGTGACTGGACGGACATCCTGCCGGGCCCCTAACATCAGGACTGTGGGACCCTCACAGGAGCGGAAACAAGTCCTGCGTGGATAAGTCCATTTGTTCCCGCTCTGGGTTTTTTAGAGGAGAGGATGAGTAGCTAACCAGAGCCCAAGTCAGAAACCCTGCCAAAGTGATGTTTCCTCCCATTAAACCACCCTGCGGCTCTTCGATGCGGTCCTGCAAGAAAGGCCCTGGTAGCGGGCCTGCAGCAGTAGAGCGCCCTGCGGCCGGGGAGTGCCGAAGGAGAACACAGGCGCATCCACGGCGCATCCCTTCCACCCGTCACCCTTAAGGGCTGCCAGTTTACCCATGATTGGCTGCCCTTTACCCACGCTCGGGTCGGAAAATGTTTCCCCCATTTTAATCAGAACGGAATGAACTCGGTTAAGTGAGAGAGTGAAGAGCCCTGAACCCGTTTCAGGCCATCACCATGGAAGTCCAGCGGCAAGATACACGGGGAGGCAAACTTGGTACTTATGCCCGGTGCTGCCCCAGCCGCCCACCCGGCACTCCCATCCTTCAGGAACTCTCCGGAGCAGGCTCCGGGTACAGGGACACACACACCATCACAGACGCTCGCTGCAGGTTGTGATAAACGGTAGGAAGGAAACAAGCCGAGACCTATTTTAGGGTAGCCAAAGAAGACGCGTCTGAGAAAAGGCAGTAAGGTCTGGGGAGGCAAAGTACTGAGTGCAAGGGGGATTACTACCAGTTGGAAATTAGAGGAAACTAGTGTTCATGAAACTAGCAGCTTTATTGCCTGTCACAGTCCCTGTCTTCACTTCAGGAGGTTCCGAAGTGCTTGAGGGAGGAAAACCTGTAAGAAATGATGGAGGTCAGGGAACAGGCCTTGAGAATCCTGGACTGGGGTCACGGTGAGAGTCTGGTCAGCCTGGGAGGCAGAGGCCACAAAGGTCAGGAGCGGCTCTGCCTCTGGCCGCTGTGCAGCACTGCTCAGTCCTCTCAGCTCCTGGGTGACCTGGGCCTCCACGGCCAGCCACTCCGCGGTGCCATCTCCACCTCCGCCTCTCTCCTTGGTTTGCTGCTGCAAGCGTCGCCGGGCCCGCCGCCGCCCCTGCCACACTCGGTGCCACAGGGCACAGCGCCAGCTCACAGAGCAGAGTGACACCCCCTTCCCTGTCTCACCCCGAGACCCGTCTCCAGCTGCCTCGAGTCCCTTGGGCTCCTGCTCTGCCAGTGCTGCATGGCCCGACTGCCCCTCTTCTCCAGGGGCGAGCTGCTTTCCGGGCATCTGGGGTGGCTCCCCTGGCTGCCCAGGGCTCTGCCCCCAGTCCTGTACCATCTCTCCAGCCTCTACAACCATTTCCTCCACCCCGTCTTCACTGTGATCCCCGATACATCCCTGCTGCTCCTCCTGCCCCTCCTCACAGCTTTTTTCCTGTCCATCTAGTTTCAACCTTTTGCTTGTCCCTCCCTGAGGAGACTCAGGGCCCCCCCTGTCTGACCACAGTCTCTTGGTTCCCTGTTCTATATGGCACCCTAACGCTTCCCTTAATACCTGGGCCAGGGCAGCAGTGAGCCGGGCGAAGGGGACAGGGGGTAAGGGGATGGGTGTTGCAGACAGCAAGGAGCTAGGGGAGCTGGGCTGCAGAAGGGGGAGCAGCCCCCAGTCGCGGCCCCGGGAGGAGCGGCGCTGGTACTGGAGGCTCCGGCAGTAATTGGCCGCCGCCCGGCAGCTGATCTGTAGGCGCCCAGCTACCCGGCTGGTCACATTGGCTGCCACATTGTGACTCAGGTCAAAGGGGTCCTGGAGATTCATGGGGCCAAGGCGCAGACCCTCCCAGCGATCAGAGGGCAGGCCCCCTGCCACAGGCAGTGCCTGACCCTCCCGCAGGGACAGCAGTGAGCCACGAAGATCCCAACAAGAGACGCAGGAGAAGAACTGGGCTAGCAGAGAACCTGGAGGAGGAGGAAGACCAGGCAGAAGGCGTTACTCAGAGGCCAGAAATGAAATAGGCCTGCACTAGACACATTCTCTACGAACTTTCTTTTCCCTTCCAAGGAGCTCAGAAGAGTGTCAGAAGCCAGACTTCTTTGATCTTTATATAAACAAGAGGTCCAGCCTCGCTCCCCCCATGCCCCGTGTCCCCAGCAACCTCCTTCCCCAGATGCTGCTCCTTCCCCTCACCAGCAGTGTAACCTTGAGCAGCCACTTAAGTGCCCCAAGACATGGCTTCTTCATCTGTAAAATGGTATTAAGGATACTAGCTATCCCGCGAGGTTGCAGGGCGAACCATGCCAGGCCAACAGTAACTGCTGGATATGACCTATAGTCGTGTTTAACATCATTTATTAATCCTCCAGCGGGCTCCCCAAACTCACTGAGGGGCTCCTTATTGGTGCTGGGCTCCAGTCTTGAGGCATCCCTGGGGAAACTACAGTCCCAGCCATCAACCTCCACCTGCTCACCCTCCCCTGCAAAGGAAAAAAGGTGAGGGTCAGCCCGGAAGCAGGAAGATTTGGGGGTGACAGCAGAGATCTCATTCCTGGGGCAGCTTAGCGTGTCGAAATGAGACACAGAAGAGGAAAGCCAAAGCTAACAAGAAAAAGTGGGTGGCGGCCAGGCCACTGTACCTGCTTTCTGGGTGAGCTGGGACACAGTGGGCAACACAGGAGGGTCCCTGGTCTGAAGGAAATAGATCACGAGCAAGGTCAGGGCGTAGTTACTGAGGAGGGGGCCACTTCCTGGGTAAACAAGAATTCCAGTTAGATTGGAGATGCATCTAACACCCTGGTTGGTTCTCTCAACCCTCGTTCCTGTACAAACCCCCCTCTCTTCCCCGAACCCCCACCTTTGCCCCAACACCAGTTTAACCCCAAGTCTGTCCTGATCCATTCTCACCTGACAGCCCTCGACCCTGAGCCCAGCAGCGCAGGGTGTACACCAGGGGCCGAACTCGCCCATCCAACTCCGAGCAGAGACTCAGGAAGCGAGAGTTATGCAGGGCCAGCCTGGAACAGAAACAAGGGCGTCAGTGCTGGGGAACCCTCTGAACAATCACCCCAGTCCTTGTTCCAGGCCTGCAGAACGGGGGTCCAGCTGGAATAAGGCCAAAAAAGGGTTTCCCAAGTGTTTGCTGACCCAGTCATGTGAACGGGCAAGAAAAGAAAGGGCAAGCAAAAGGACGTCACAAGTGTTCAGGAAAACATGACATCCTATATGCCTGTCCTAGATAGGATGTTAGAGAAGGGTTTCCTTACAAAACTGCTCAAAGCCTTTCATATGCAAAAAAACAAAGACTGGAAGGGAGGGAGAAAGATAGAGGAGGGAGGGAGAAACTGATTTGCATCGAATTTAGCATTTCCCAAACTTATTCAACACTTGAACTCTCTTCTAAATCCCCTAAAAATAGTATTCGAAGGAACACACTTTACATTCGTGAAAACGGATGCCAGACAGGAGAAAAATGGCAGAAAGAGGCATGGGACCCAACTAGGATAATCTCGAGGTTCAGCTAGTGCAAAAGCTTCCCACCCCCAGGCGCTCTCTTCACCCATCCCAGAGTGCTCAGCTGGACTTCCCCAACCACCCCCTATACAAAGGTACCGGTTACTGAGGGAGACGTCACCGTGAAGACCTGAAGGCCGATGGCAAAACTTGACCACAGGGCGTCGGGCAGTGGGCACAGTTTGGACTCGGTACACTCCAGGGACACAGCCCCGAAGAATGGATCCCACCAACTCCAGCATGGCTACTCCCTCTGTTTTCTCCCCCCTCAGGGCCTCTGCTAGTTCCAGGGCCTTCCCCAGGTCCCCCTCTCCCGGGTCTTCCTGCAGTGGTGAGGCTGGAGGCAGGGACTGGGGAGAGGCAAGGGTCTCAGAGGCCAAAGCAGAGTCCGGAGTCTGGGGAGCCAGTGAAGAGGAAGGAGTTTCAAAATCCAGGGCTTCTGAGTCTTGGGGAGAAGGAGGCTGTGAGTCTGGAGGAGAAGCCAGGGTACAGCCCAGGGCTTGAGGATCCAGTGGTGATGCAAGGGCTGAGTCCAAAGATGGAGGAGACTCAGGGGCCTTTGGGGCTGGCTGCGGGCAGAAATGGGTTCAGTGAATATTCACCTCTCCTGCTGTCCCCCATCTGGGCAACATTCCCCAGAATATATCTATTACTGCTTATATGCTAGGTTCCATTCCAAGGACTTTATATATATTAACTCAGTTAATCCTCACAACCCCTTTTAAAATTAAACATAACTTAAAAAAAAAAAGATTTTATTTATTTTTTTGACAGAGAGAAAGAGAGCACAAGCAGGGGGAGCAGCAGGCAGAGGGAGAAGGAGACTCCCCTCTGAGCAAGGAGCCCCATGTGGGACTCGATCCCAGGACCCTGGCATCATGACCTGAGTGAAAGCAGACACTTAACTGACTAAGCCACCCAAGTTTCCCTAAAAATAACTTTTAGTGCCACACAATAAATGGTCTATATTCTACCAAGATGCCACTGTCATGAAAGATAAAAGGCAGAGGAACTGTAAAGGAGACTGAGGGGCCAATGCTAGCCTGGGACTGGGCAGCTGATGACTGCAGGCAATGGACTGCAGACTGAAATCTCAGAACATTTTACACCTGCGCCAGGGAACACATCCGTCCTTGCTAACGGTACTGTGGCTGTACCCAAGGATGCCTTTGTGTTTCCCCAATAGATACTGGACTATTATGGGCATCATGTATGCTCTCAAATGACTCTGAAAATATGAAGTGTGTGTGTGCATGTGTCTATATGTAGGCAGAAAGAAAAAACAGACTGATAAATTTTTTATTTTTTATTTTTTTATGTATATATG